CTTACCATCTGGGATTCAAGATCCAGCCAAGTCTCTAATATAATTCCCACAAATTTATTTCTGCTCCAGTGTGACCTCATTCCCTCTAGCTCGGGCTAGAATGGGAAGGATCCAAGTTCTAACACTGGTATAGCTTTTTGAGCTGTGAGTCTATAAACACTTGATCCTGTGGTTTCCTAGAACTTCAGTTTCCTCACTGGACTGAGAGCTCAGAAATCCCTCAGGTACCCGTCTGGAGCTCCATTCAGGTCATGGGAAACAAGAAAGACTCATGTTTGATGCCCATGAAGAAGGGTCCAAAGACAAAGGCAATCTCCTCACCACGATCAGCCTTCACATGGGATGGCCTGGTACTTTTGAGGAAGCTGCACTGATGCTGGAACTCGTAGAAGTAGACAGGGGCATGGGAACCTGGGAATGCATGTAGTAATATACTTATCCTTCATCCGAAGCTATCCTACCACGCATTTGGTGACATCATACTTTGATACAAAGTTATCTGGAATCATGAGAGTTAAGTGAGGAGTCCCATGTTGGAGCACTGACTGTGAGAAAAACCTTGGGTAAACAGTGACCCTAGAATTCCTGGCTGAGTAGTTTTTGGCAAATCAACAGAGTATCAGTAACTTGTTTCCAAACCTGTACCTGGATAAGATGTCACTCTCTTATACTATACACAAGAATTTACTGAGATTATGTATGTACTCACACTGAAAATGTGCCACTTGAAGTGCAGGGATCACGAACGTGAAGTCTGCCATCATCTCTTTGAACTGTAGTTGGAGGGTCTGGGGTTCCTCAGTGTCCCCCATGTACTCTTCTCTTAGCAGATCACCACACTCAGGAGGCAACCTCTATACCAGGGGGAGCAGAATGAGGTTATTCGGGCTCTTGGATAGATAGGCAACAGCCTTTGGCCTAGGATGACATAGTAAATAAAGGGAAGTGTTAAAGCACTAGAGTGACCCCATGCAGAAACATATACATACACCAACCTCTATTTCTGGGGATGCTGTCTGAGAAGGGTACATGGGGAGCCTCTATATCAGGACACGACCCAAGGAATCTCACCATCTGTGCTGCTTTGCTCCTCAGAACAGTCTGCAGGTTCTCTGTGGTTATTTCCTTTATGGTAGGAGCAGTGCCCATGAACTGGGAGGCAGAGAACAGTCTTCAGGGTGGGTGGGATGGACCTGAGTCCTAGAATCTATGAGTCCCCACCACCCACCATATGAATTCGCAGGTTCCCAGGTGATTGGAACTAGGCCTCACCATGGGGTTGGTCCAACCATATTCATCATTGTTGACACCAATGATGCTGGGAACAGGTTGAAAATCCACAGAGGCCAACAACTCTTGGGGACGCCTGGGTAGGAACTCCCCATCTACCACACCAGAAATTATCTTAAAGACCTGGGGAGGGGAGTATTAAAGATCAGTGCTGAAGGTCAATCACGTACATAATCTAATGGCCACTGAGTCACGTACATATTCTAATGGCCACTGAGTTGCCCCTACCACTTCTCCCATTTCTTTCTTCATCTGAGATGTTCTTTCACCCTGACAGAGATCCCACACCTTGATTAGTCTATCTTGGTGCTCACTTTTTAAAATATTTTATTTTAATTTTTTGTGTATAAGTGTATTGCCTGCATGTGTATAACTGCACTCATGCCTTGCAATACCTATGGAGGTCAGAAGAAGGCATCAGATCCCCTGGAACTGGAGTTACTGATGGTTATTAGCCACCATTTGGGTGCTGGGAATCGAACCTGCGTCCTCTGCAAGAGCAGTCAGAGCTCTTAACCACTGAGCCACCTCTCTAGCCCTTGGTGTTCATTTTTTATACAAGACTAAAAGGATACCCAGTCATGGAGATGAGGTAATTGGTTCAGAGTAGCGAGGACTGGCTCTCCCACATTCTGTTGACCAGGAATCCAAGCCACATGATTCTCCCAATCTTGTTAATAGCCAGAATCTCCTCTTCACTCTTGCCTCGCAGACAGCACACCAGGGCCTCTGAATCCACAGCCTCACATCCAGATAGGTTGGCCACCATCTGTAAGGGGCCAGGCAGGGGCTGGTTTATCTTCTAGAAAGGAAGAAGAGTTTTCCCAATCCCAACTGGTTGCCATTGCCCCTAAATACCATGCCATACTCTCTTGTGTGGGGGTTGGAATGAGTATGAAATTGTTCCCATTTTCCTGTTGCTCAGAGGTGACAGCCACAGGAAACTTTCTACCTGCATAGTTGTTTTTGTTCTCTCTCTTTCTCTTTCTCTCTCTCTCTCTCTCTCTCTCTCTCTCTCTCTCTCTCTCTCTCTCTCTCTCTCTCTCTCCCCCCATCTCTCTCTCATGTTTGTGAGCATGTGCATGTGTGTGTGTGTGTGCGTGTGCGTGTGTGTGTTCAGATGTGAGTGCAGGAGTGTGTGCCAAGGTTTGAGTATAAAGGTCAGAGGACAATCTCAGCTCTCTGTCACTTTCCCCCTTGTTTGAGACAAGGTCTCTTATTTTACTGCTGCGTACACCAGCTGAGCTGGACTTTGAGCACCCAGGATTTCCCCTTTGTCTTCCAACTCACCATACGAACCCTGGGAATATAGACACATGATAACACCTCCAAGCCTTTGTGAGTTCTGGGGATTTTTAGCAGGTACTCATGTTTACACAGCAAGCACTTTCACTAGGTCATCTTTCCAGCCTATGCACACTTCTTTTTGCCAAGAGTGAAAGATGCAAAGTGCATTTTGCTGGCCTTATAATATACTTGTCATGCTGGTGTGGTGGCACATGCCTTTGATCCCAGCACTTGGGAGGCAGAGACAAGCGGATCTCTGAGAGTTCAAGGCCAGCCTAGTCTACATAGTGAGTTCCAGGTCAGCTGGGGCTACAGGGAGACCCTGTCTCAAAAAGACCAATAATAATAATAATAATAATAATAAACTTGTCATATATAAAGCATAGAGGAGTAGGGTCTAATTCTTGAACTTCTCAGAAATTACTGGAAAGAAGCTATTTCCCACAGTCTTTGTTTTACCCAACGTACCAGAGGGTAAGGATTGAGGCAGCAGGGTTGGCCATGGGGTAGTTGAGGACCCTTACCATGTAGACTCCCTCAGAGGTATCAGAGATAATGTCTGGCAGTATAGCCACCCCACTCTCCATGATGGCTCTGTGGAAGAGTCCTTGGGACATGAGGGACACATGTGAAGACACATTTGTGCTACCTGCTGATGCTCCAAAAATTGTGACCTGGTCAGGGTTGCCTCCAAAGTGGGCAATATTCTGCTGGACCCAGCATAGGGCAGCCACTTGGTCCAGGTAGCCCCAGTTGCCTCTAGCATGCTGGTCTCCAGTGCTGAGAAGTGGCAAAGACTGAGATCTCAGAGCTGTCCTGGCTTCGTTGGGCCTCCATTGCCCTGTCTAACCCCAAGCTCACCTGAAGAAGCCCAGGACACCAAGGCAGTATTGGATAGTGACCACTATGACATCCTCAGTGGCTGCCAGTGTGGATCCATCATACTTGGAAGCTGTGCCCATAACCAGTCCACCACCATGGATCCATACCATCACCTGGAGAATGTAGACAGATATCAAAAGGCTCCTATGCAACCCAAGCTCCAGCTTGACTATTAGATTATCAACTACTTTATCTCTGTGCAGGTAGACATATATACAGACCTCCCCAGTACCTCAGAACCTGGGCCAAGAACAGGAAACTCCAGTGCTTCCATCAGTGTGTTTCCAGTCCCCTTCCCCACCTCTGCTTGGATTAATGGTCTTAAGTCTTAGAGTAATGTCATCACTACTCTCAGACCCCTCAAATAAAAGAGGTGTCACCATGAGTGTCTCTCCTGATTATTAAAAGCATCATCAAATCTCATTGACACAAAAGATAATCTATAGCTAGGAATTTGAGTGACTTCAGTGTTCAGCACTTGGTCCGCTAATAGAGAGTCCTGGTTTGATCTGAGGGCTACAACCTCTGACCTCTTGGGTCTCTACTGTTCTATGTCTCACCCATATCCAGAGTTTAGCTGAGAAAGCCTTCTTAGACTCCGTAGGGTAAGTATTAGAGTTCACAGTGCAATGGGGCTCAGGCTGTTTTTGTCCCTTCAATCATCCTGCAGGAAAAATGTCAAACCCACATAGCCTGCTGCTGACCATGGCCTGATACTCACAGGCAAATAAGAGCCTTCATGGGCATGGGCTGATGTGTAGATGTTGAGATATAGGCAGTCCTCAGACATGGAGATGGAAGACATGAGCATCTTCTTCTTCAGACCCTCTCCATCCATCATATCAATATTTTGCAGACACCTGGTAATAATGACAGGCAGTTTATCCAAGGGAGGTGTGGTGGTTAAAACATATCTTGAGTCTGTATTTGTTCTCTGCCACCTTCAGTTGCTTCTTCCCATGGTGCACTAAGATCCTTCTCTAAAGTCCCTTCCTACCAAAGTGAAGGGAAAGTTGAGATTGAGGCAGACCTTTAGGGAGGCCTCCAGTAGGATCTTACTCTTCCTAGGATATTGAGACTTATAGGAGTCTCTGAAGATGATTGGCTACATGTAGTGACAGCCACCATTTCCCTTTGTACTTGTTAACACCGGGTGTGATTGTTAGTTTTGATTGCCCACTAGACACAATGTAGAATCACCTGGGAAGAGAGTCTGACTGAGGGATTGTCTATACCAGGGTGGTCTGTGGGAATGTCTACGGGTGATTATCTTGATCATGTTAATTGAAGTGGGAAGACTTGACCATTTTCAGAGGCACCATTCCCTAGGAAGTGGCTTCTGAACTGTATAAAGTAGAAAAAGGGAGCTGAACATTAGCAAGCGTGCATGAATCATTTGCACTCTATTGTTGATTATAGATGTGATGGGATCAGCTTCTTTAATTATCTACTTCTGTGGCTTCTCCCTTATGATGAACTGTGACCCATAATAAAACATTTCATCCTTAAGTTGCCTTTGTCAATATTTTATTACACCAATTGGAAATGAAATTTAGATTCTTGGGTACAGGGGTGCTGTGCCACACAGATACAGTAGGAATGGATGAGCAATACTGTCTCGTAGAGTAGGTGGGATGTCCATCCCATGTCCATGCTCTCAGAGAAACTCCTTCGATAAAATCTTCAGTTAGTTTGGGCTGGAGAGATGGCTCAGTGGATAAGAGCACTGACTGTTTTTGCGGAGGGCCCAGGTTTGGTTCCTAACACCCACATGATAGCTCACAATCATCCATAACCCCAGTGCTAGGGGATCTGATGCCCTCTTCTGTCCTCCGCAGGCAGTGCACATCGTAGTGCATTTATATATATGTAAGTATAACTCTCACACACATAAAAGATAAAAATTTTTAAATTTGAAATCTTCAGTTAGAAGCATATATACTTGATCCTTTGTCAATAGCACCTTGTCACAGTGACTGTGGATGGTGGGGGTGGCAACTGCCCATCCTCTGCCCTTTTCAGGGACTGGAATGTATGATACAGGACTCAGGGACTCTTGATGCTTAGTAGGCCACACTGACTCTGCCCAGAGATCACTCCCATGGTAGCAAGAATGCTTGGCATAAACTGAATGTGCTCCTCTCTGCAGTCCTGAAGCTAACTCCCTACAGGTGCCAAGCTCTGACCTAGGAGCCTGGCATGGCTCTCCTACTCTAAACCTTAGCATGTGCACTTTAAAAAATGCATGGGTGACTCTCCCTCACACAGAGAGAAAACTGTTAAGGAGTTGAGCTAGAGGAAGCATTTCAGTGTGACCCAGGGTTCAGAGCACCTGTTCATCCCAGGGTCTGAAGGGTGCTGGACCCCAGGACTTACATAGCTGGGTGAGAAGTTCCATCTCTCACACCACTCCATGGTTCAGGGAACTCAGGAGGAGCAAACCTCAGTGGTCCTACAGGTGGCTTGGCAAAGGGAATTCCCAGGAATGTGTGGACACCCACTTTGGTGTCCTTCACATGGATGAGCCTGCCTAGCACCTGCCCTGTGTGTGTGGTCCTGATGGGACTGGATGAGTCCTGGCCTGTGGGAAGAGAGGTGCTATTAGTGTGTTGGTTCATTCTAATCAACTAGCAGCACACTGTGGGAGTTCCTGTCTCACTGTCAGCAAGGTGCATAGTGGGAAAGGGAATACTGGGCCTCTCCATTCAATTGTGGGGTGGGGGCACTTGGCTTTTGTGATTCTCCCCACCCCTACCAGGGCCAGGAAATTTGCCCACAGTCCTTTTGAAGAGTGCCAGGGCACTTCTCTGGCCAAAATGTGACACCCTTAGAACCCATTGCATGAAGGTATTATTATTGTCATTATCCAAGGGTCAGTAGCAGTTATAGCCACAGCCACACACAGAAGGAAATATTCCTTCTGCCCTTCATTCCTCTTATCTTCAGATTCAGCGCGTTTCAGGGCCTCTCACACAGGACTGGTTCCTCAGTAAGGGGTGTCCATACATCTGTGCGCTGCAGGGCTCATGCTGTGATCTTTGGTGGGACCACTGGGAAGCACACATTTCCTCCACTTTCATCTGACATCTCCACCACCTCCCCCCTTGCTGGTACCTCCCCTCCACAATCTCCATCTCTGACTCTGCAGGACTGGCAGCTCTGACCCCTTTGGCTGCCCATCGCCCACTTAGGGAGCTTTACCGTGCACATGGAGGAGGAGAAGCAGGAGCCCACAGACCACAGATTTAAGCCAGCCAGGAAGTCTGTCCAGGGACATGATTGGCTTCCAGGCCCGAGTCTGTACTGCTGCAGGGTGACAGTGTTTCATCAACAGGAAGTACAATACAAGCCTTGCCAAGCCAGGAATTTGAACCAAAAGAAAAAGTAGGCGGGAAACTTGGTGGAGTAGTGCAAAGTTCTTATTGTAGGAGGCCTGCAGGTGAGCCAAAGGCCAGCAGGCAGGGCAAAACCACCTCTGCTGTTTCTGTTCCTTCTTTGTTCTCCTGAAAGGCAGAGCTTGGCTTCTGAAGCCCTCTGGGGTACCAGGAACCCCGGTCCTCACACCTAGAGTCACTATGATCCCTGTCCTTGTACTCACCTGCCATGTAGGTGATGTTGTGAAGATCAGGGAAAAGAAAGCTGTAACAGGAGGGCTTCTCTGAGTAGGCACATAATCAAGATGCCACAGACTGAGCGGTGCATGCAAGGACAGTGAGCTCTGAGTGTAATCTTCATCCTGAAGATTCCTCTGTGCTTTGAAGACTCATAGTTTACCTGATCTACCTTCAGGGTCTGTCATCCTGTACCATGATCTTAGAATTTACATGACCCTGTTAGTTATTGTTATTTCATTGAAACACACTACAATTCTGGAAAAAAAATTTTAATTTTATGTGTATGAGTGTATTGTCTGCATGTAGCTAAGTGCACCCATGTCATGCAATGCCCACAGAGGACAGAAGAACCCTTTGGGTCCCCTGGAACTGGAGTTATAGACAGTTGTTAGTTGCCATGTGGGTGCTGGGATTCAAACCTGGGTCTTCTACAAAAACAACCAGTGTTCTTAACTGCTGAGCCATCTCTGTAGCCCCGAAAAAAAAATTTTTTAAGATAAGGTCTTACTATGTAGCCCTGGCTGTCCTGGAATTTGCTACGCAAACCAGCTGGCCTCAAACTCACAAAGATCTACGTACCTCTGCCTCCAGAGTGCTAGAATTAAAAGATGTGCCACCCAGCTCCAGCACTTCTTAAATCTACATCTCTTATTTATTCCACCTTCAAAATGTGGCTACTTGAGCGGCCATCTCCTGCCGAGTTCGACTTTACAGTCATTTATTCACTTCAAAAACATTATTATTTTTTTTTTCTAGGGCTGGGACTTCTTTCCCACCTCCCCCATCCTTGATAGAGTCTCAGAGAGGGGGCATCAGTTTTCTTTATTAGGGTGATGTCTGGTAGGGTGACCAGACTCCAAAGGATAGACCCATACCCAAGAGCATTTGGGAAACACAGATTAGATTTGATAGACATTTAAGCAAAAGGGGCGGTGGGGGCTGGAGAGATGGCTCAGTAGTTAAGAGCACTGGCTGTTCTTGCACAGGACCCAAGTTCAATTTCCCAGCACCTACATGGTTGCTGACAACTGTCCATAACTCCAGTTCCAGGGGAATCCAATGCCCTCTTCTGACCTCCGTGAGTATTACATGACATGGGTGCACTTACATATGTGCATGCAATACACTCATAGACATAAAATAAAAGTAGTAAAAAATTTTCTTAAATGAAATAAAGCTCAGAGCTGGAGAGATAGCTCGGTGGTTAAGAGCACTGGCTGTTCTTCAAAAGACCCAGGTTTGAACCCCAGCACCCACGTGGTAGCTAACAACCTTCTGTAACTCCAGTACCAGGGGATCTGACACCTTCTTCTGGCTTCTGAAGACATTGCACGACACAGGTGCACTTACATAAATGCAGGCAAAACACTCACACATATAAAATAAAAATAAATAAAAACTGTAAAAAAAGCAAATAATAACAGAGGACATGAATATGGGGAAGTGAGAAGGTGGAGTAGAGGGGGAGGGGTCTGAATATGATCCAAGTACATTGTATGAAATTCTAGAATCAATAAAAATATTTGAAATAGGGCTGGAGAGATGGCTCAGGGGTTAAGAACACTGGTTGTTCTTGCAGAAGACCTGGGTTCAAATCCCAGCACCCACATGGCAGCTAACAACTGTCCATAACTCCAGTCCCAGGGGATCCAACAGCCTCTTCTGACATCCTCGGGCATTGCATGACGCGGGTGCACTTACTTACATGCAGGCAATGCACACATACACATAAAATAAAAATAATGAACATTAAAAAAATATGTTTTAAAATAAAAATAGAAAGATTATTATTAAAACATTGGAATTTATTTACTTACTGTGTTATGTATGTATGTGGGCATTGCCATGATACCTATGTGGAGATCAGAGGACAACTTGTGAGTCTGGCTTCTCCCCTTACACAATTTGGGTCCCAGGGCGAACTCAGGTCATCAAGTTTCATGGGAAACTCATCGGATGAGCCAACTGGTCAGCCAACAAGTTACTAGCATTTAATGGGGCCGGGTTGGGACCAACACTGGGCTCTATCTGGGCTCTCAGAGCCTATGAGAAAGCTGGGGAAACAGGTCTATAAATAGGAGTTTATCACAAAGAAACCTGACAAGATAATCAGAGTACAGGATCCGGAGTTTACACCTAGCCCAGGTTGACTTCCTGGAGGAGTGAGTATGCAGATCAACATCAGACAGGTTTTAGTGCCATGTGAGAATTGGCCTTGGCTCCGTTTTTATAACCCCAATAGTCTTGGGCACTCACAGCCTAGCATTGCAAGACTTCCTCTTTGGTAGCTTTCTGACTTCCCCTCCCACCACCCCCGGGACAGCATAGCCATGGCTTCTCCTATATCCTTCAGTTCGCAAGACCTGCTCTTGATGCAGTATTGTGCCTCCCTCCAATGTTCTCTTCTGTAGTTTGTTGTCCCCACCCTTCGTGGAAGATGTTCTATCTTCCCTAAATTCCTTAGTAGGGAAATGCTGAGCTGTGGGGGCTGAGAAGTCTCTAGTTCCTCAACCTCGGGGTCAAGGAAACAACTGCTTCCTGGTTTTTTCACATCCTGGTGCTTCTTCTTAATCCTAAACATTCTTTGCTTGGGTTTTATAGTGTTTTTCCCCTCTGGGTTGTTGTTTGATTGGTTATTTATTTATTTACTTATTTATTATTATTTATTTATTTATTTAGAGCTCTGCTGGGGAAAGTCCCCATGTGCTCTGCCACTTACTACACCATCATTCAGAGGCCCTGGGCTGATGATGGCCAAGGCCATAGTAAAAATGTGGGATGAAGAAGACTCAAGGACATTTCTGTGGATGGAGGCAGGGGATGAGTGGGAGGGAAACACCTGCAGTGAGATACCACTACACACCCATTCAGTACAATCTGACTTAAGATCCAGAAGCCCAGTGTTAGCAAAGACATGGAGCCCCCGGTGCCCTCATACATGACTGGAGAAAATGCAAATGTCATAATCATTTTGGAAGACAGTTTGGCATTTTCTTCAAAAGTTAAACACACTAATCCTATGATTGAGCCATTCTACTCTTGGGTCTTTCAACCAGGGAAACGAAAGCACTGACTACAAAAACTCATGTTTCACAAAGTTCACAACAGCTTTGCTAAAAGTAGCCCAAAATCAGAAATCACTCAGACGTGTGGCAAATGGAGAAGGAGAGAAAGTGTGCTATGTTCGTATGCAGAATGACACTGTCAACGGTGACAGTACACTTGAATCTCAAAGATGTACTTAGTAACAGAACCAATGACAAATGATTCCTTCTCTATCATAGGACTCTGATGTCCAGGCCTCTGATGTCTCTAAATCATGCAATGTCCAAACAATTCCATCAGAAAACAGCCAAGGGGTTACTCTGGAGCAGAGATCAGACAATGATTAACAAAAAGAACATGAAGGAAATTTTTCCACTAAAATAATTCTCATATTTGAAGGACAGGCACTTGCATTTATCATATTTTTAGACAAATATACAAAGCTTTGCTGGTTAAAGGTAAACCTATTTACATATAAATTACTCAACACTAAAGTTTTTCAAAAATATAGCTACTAAACTCCAAAGAAAAGTAGCCAGTTTCTTGGCTAAAAATCAAAAATGACCTTGGGCCTCTTAGCAACACACTCTTTTCCAAAGGCCAAAAATGTGAAAAGTATTTGGGAGCGCTTATCTAATCCCTAAAAGATTTTAGGATTACCTCTTCGGAGGGGGGAATATGAGAGTAGCAAAAAGCCCCGCTGAATAAAAAGAAAGAGTTCAGGAAATTATTCAGGAAAAAGTGACAAGGAGATTATGGGAGGAGTTGTGGGGGGAGGAGTGGGCATGGATTTGATCAAAACACCTTATATGTGTGTATGAAATTCTCAATAAATTTTTTAAAAGTTAAAAATATATATAGCTACTAAAAACAACAACAAAAGCCAGGCATGGTGGCACCCATCTTTAATCCCAGCATGTGGGAGGCAGAGATGGGTGAATCTCTGTGAGACTGAGGCCAGCCTGGTCAACATGGCAATTTCCAGGCCAATAGGGGCCATAAGGAGACACTGTCTCAAAAAAAAAAAAAATGATAACATACAAATCACACACACACACACACATGCACACACACTGAGTCTAACTCATTTAGTGACATGTTCTGCGCATCAGCAGAAATGAAAACCTCACGGTCATATTTGCAGCAGGAGCTCAATAATGTCTTAAGGCCCCAGTAAGTATCAAGTACCAGCTGTCCTGCACTAAAAGGAAGGGCTTTTTCCTCTGCCCTGCTCCTGAGCCCAGGCTAAAATGTATCCACATCTCTGTTCTCCCCACTGGTGTTGGGGTGGACACTGAAAGAATCAGCACTTTCATGATGTCCTATGGTTGGTCTTCAATGTGGTGAATGAAAGGACTTTGCCAATGTAGGAAAACTGGTACCTCAGGAGGGCAAGATGGTCACACACCTTTGTAAAGTGGCATAAAGTATAAGAGAGTTTAGGGACATCAATAAGGTTAGGATGAAAACCAGAAACATGGAAGATGAAACAGAGTAGTAGTGCCAGGAGGAGCCAGGAGGCTTAGGGGGAACTCTGAAAGGCCCATGGGCCCCTCCACATGTGGACAGGTGCTCAGGGAAGACAAGATGGGAATCTCTTCTCCTGGACATTTTGGGG